TATATATATATATATATATATATATATATATATATATATATATATATATATATATATATATATATATATATATATATATATGTAAGTATATTTTGGTAGCAGTGTTTCTTGTAAACATATGTCATTAAATATGACCGAAAAAGTAAGATTAATAATTCTAACACGATTTTTCTCAATATTTCTTATGATTCTTTTCACTGTCGATGGTAATTGAAATATCAATTCTCCAAAATTCATTTTTATTTCTAGTCTGACGCGACACTTGAACGCGTTTCGTAATAACTTATTTCATTTTCAAAGACTTTAGTTTACACACACACAACTATAACCTGCAAACACTAAACAGAGTTCTTCTATGCTATCATTTAAACCGTGGGTGTGGTGATGATAGTGAGTGTAGTGATGGTGGTGGGTGTGGTAGTGGTGGTGGGTGGGGTGATGGTGATGTGTGGGGTAGTGGTGGTGGTGGGTGTGGTGGTGGTGGGTGTGATGATGATGGTGGGTGTGGGTTTGATGATGGTGGTGGGTGTGGTGATGGTGGTGGGTGGGGTAGTGGTGGTGGTGGGTGTGGTGGTGGTGGGTGTGGTGATGGTGGTGGGTGTGGTGGTGGCGGTGGGTGTGGTGGTTGTGGGAAAACTTGACTCATGTAAATCATTTAAATTGATACTATTGCCGATAGCTACGAAGGACCACCACTTTTTGTGGAAAAGCGGAAAACTAGGTAGAGCAAGTGGTTTGATATTAATTCCATGAACTAGTGTCTTATGGATGTTCTTAATTAACTATATATTGAATATTATAGGGACTGTATATTATGAGTCAAATTCACTCACCCAAAATGGGGGTTACATGCCAAAAGATTAATATATCCCAAGCATGATTTCAGGGCTGGTTCTTCACTGAAGTAAATGTAAATGAAAATTAAATAGATTATATAATAATAATTAGAGGCAAATGTACCTCAAGATACTACAGTAATATGGTAAAATATATAGCCAAATCAATGGGTTAATAGTATTGATCTCATTAAAAGATCATTAAGGTAGCTAAGTTATTATGTCTTTCCAAACAACAATTAGCAGCTTAGCTGTGAAAATAAGAGATGTGAAATCAGTTGCCACACTCCACTGACGACGTGTTCCGTCGAGCAAGTTGTTGCACGTGAAGATGGAGTAGCCTAATTCCTCGGTTGACGTGGACTCGGGAGCTGTAAGGCAATTACAATGTAGAAATCTTCTACGTAAATAATAAAAGATATAGCTAATAATACGGAATTCTTCCTTATATGTTTTAAACGATATATCTGATACTGTAAAATTCTTCAACAGACATTAATGAAATATATTCCTATATAAATTACGGAATACGGCTAGAGAGTAAATGTACTGGATTTTTGTTGTAAATAAATGGCTTTAACGACAACTAGCCTAAATATTAACATGTGATCACAGCGTTAAATAAAAGGTAAATAATAGTTGCCGGGCCAAGTGTCCGTTGGTCTAGGGAACGATTCCAGTCTAGGGAACGATTCCAGTCCTCCGTGTTACGGCCCTCTTGGGTCGCTACTGGGTTCTTTCTCTGATGTTAGTAGAGTAAGGGTATCCGGCCCCAAGCTAGTAGTGGCTTTCAAGGGATGTGCTCCGTAACGCAAGTAAATTAAAGGGGAAGGGATAAAACTGCTCAGAAATAAATATATATTCACCACCACTAATAAATAAATATATAAACAGTCACACGCTGTTATTATTACTACACTTATTTACAATCGCTTGTCTTCCTCCGAAGACTCAAGACGTTCACGGTGCTCAAGACGAGTGGTCCTGGTTCTCTTGTGGCCTCACGATGAATCATTCGATTCTCTCGAGTCTACCCTGGCCACAAGCCAGCTAAATCACAGTTCCACTGGGGGCACCGTCGTGGAGGCCTTCAACCACAAATCCAGCCTGTAGCTGGCAGGTTCCAATCAGTTCCGCAGGTTAGGCCACTCCACGACCGATACTAGGGTTGCGAGCCCTAGGCAGGAGCCTCGTGTGACTTCACAGATCACTCTCCTCACCTCAACACCCCAGTGGATAGTCTTCTCCTCCAGTCAGCCCCGGGTACGACAAATCCTCAACTGCCACGTCACAGGCAGGCTAACAACAGTGTTCATCCGGGGGGGTGAGGGGTGACTCACAACTTCTGCAGCTAACACTTGGAGATTCTACAGCTGCCTTGGGTAGACTGATCCAACGTCCGATTCAGCAGTCCCAGGTCGACTCTGTAATCAGACACGTCATCAGTACTAATGACACACTAGGGCACCTCACTCACTGGCTTAGACCCAAACGCCCACCTATCCACTCCATAGATGGCGTTGCTGTCCAAGCGTCACCTCACCAGAGGTCAGCAGCGGCTGTGTTATGAGCTGATCAGGACGGGAAACTAGCCCTTGTGGCCAGTATATCTCGTCCTCACTAGGTGGCGTCGTCCATTTGGAGGGGGTTTCGGGAGCTGACCCACAGATGGCGTGGTCGTCACTGCTCCGGGCTCGGACGCTGGACTCGGGTCCGTAACACTCCGTCTTGAAACTGCTGTTGCTAAGACGTCAACTACCTGCTGGAGAATTAATTAGTTCCAGGACACTGCCGTTATGTGCCAAAATAACGTGGCACCGCTCTCATGGTGGTAGTGGCACCGCTCTCATGGTGGTAGGAGCGAGTAAAATGACACTAAGCAGGTTCCTTGCAGTGGCGCCTCTCTCTTGCATGCTGCTAATATGGTGCGATACGCAGAACGCTCCAAAGTACTCTCGAGCGTAAAGTGTTTTATTTACTTGTAATTAATTAGGGAAGTAAGGAATTATGACAAGTGTTCATGTCACTGATGAAAACATTAAGGTGCAATATATTTTTACATAACGCAAGTCAGGTTATTACGACTGTGTAAAATGAACAAGAGGAATATTATATAGAATTGTTTTACATTATAACATTTTTCACTGTAGTTGTTAATTCACCTAAATAAGCGAGTTCAGTAACCAGTAATATGCTGTATAAATAAAACAACTAAATAAACGATTATCCTTAGCAAAGGAAAGTAATTAACTGGACTCTGTTTAGATTCAACTAAATGTGGAGATATTTCATGTTTCAACTTGCTGCTACCTCCCGGCGTCATGGAGACTGTAGGAAGGGTTTGGTAAAATACTGCGTCGCAATAGAAACATAAATTGGATTAATTGTGTGAATTAGTAAAATTAGTAGTTACTATGGTTAATACAATTATCATGTATTATTATACAAAAATTATGTATTAGTGTTATATAATTTCCAACAGGGGTGGTGGTGGGCATGATGGTGGTGGGAGTGATGGTGGTGGTGGGTGTGGTGGTGAGTGTGATGATGGTGGGTGTGATGGTGATGGGTGTGATGGTGGGTGTTGTGGCGGTGGTGGTGGGTTTTGTGATGATGGTGGGTCTGGTGTTGGGTGTGGGGGTGAGAGACCAAGATCACACACAAGACTATTGACTGTACATAATGTCATTAAGACCACACGATGTACCTTTTCTAAAAAAACAAAAAAATCCCAAAAGTGGTGGGTTTTCTGTGGGAAGGAAACATATGTCTAAGAGTTACGTCTAACCGCCTAAGCTGCGCGTGCAACGAGCCAGGGTTATTTAAGACTCGCCTGTGGACTCGGCGACCCATGTTCTCACTACGTCTGCAGCCGCCTCACATACAAACAAAACACTCCAGCTTCGGTCCGCTTCGCTTTGAAACGACTCCCCCACGACACTGCTCTGGCACGTGGACCACTTCAACGACACAGAAGTTTAGCTTGTTCAACTGTGCCCCCAACATGGACCCTACACCAGCAACCTCGGCCCCGGACCTCACCCTATCAGACCTCCTCGTCGGGGGCCCTCTTGGGCACTTGGGCCCTCCTCTCTCTTGGGCACTAAGCCGTGAGGGTGCTCGGCAAGGTCCCTCCTCGCCCTCCGTGGCGCGCCGGGCGCGCGCCCCTGTGGCATGCCTGTGTGGGGCTTTCTCTCGCCAGCGGGCTGGCGACGCTCTATCTGGAGGTGCCACACACGTGGCCTGGGCCCTCGTCGCTTTCAAGCCCTTTGGGATGGCCCCCTTTGGGCCCTGGCCCGCCTCTCCCTCGGCGTCCGCCCGCGGGGCAGGCCGCGTGCGGGGCTCTCCTCCGTCAGGGGGTAGGTACCGCTCCCCAGGGTGCTGGCGCTCCTCTCAAGGTGCCCCTTGGGGCCCCTTGGCGCTTCTTTGGGTGGGGCCACTTCAGTTTATTATGCCCTAGGCTGGGCCACTTCAGTTTCAGTTTATGCCCTAGGCTGGGGCCACTTCAGTTTATATGCCCCAGGCTGGAGCCACTTCAGTTTCTTTTGCCCCAGACCGGGGCCACTTCAGTTTTTTATGCCCCAGGCTGGGGCCACTTCAGTTTCCTATGCCCCTGGCCGGGGCCACTTCAGTTTATTATGCCCCAGGCTGGGGCCACTTCAGTTTATTATGCCCCAGGCTGGGGACCCCTTCAGTTCTATGCCCTGGCCGGGGCCACTTCGGTTTCTACGCCCTTTGCTGGGCCACCAGTTCCCGGTGTAGCATGGAAGAAACTGTAGGCCCCCAGGCCGCTGGTTTATCCGGACGTCTTGTCTGCACGGTGTAGACAGGCCGACTCTGCAGCCCCAGTCCTGCCCCTTGGCCGGGCCTGTCTTCTCAGGGTATTAGCCGGGTTCCATTAGCCGAAGGTCCAGCTGTTGATGTCCCAGCTGAAGATGTTCTAGCTGTAGATGTTCCAGCTGGTGATGTCTCGCCAGCTGCTGATGTTACGGCTGTTGTTGTTGCAGCTGCTGATGTTCCAGCTGCCGGCGTGCCAGCTGTCGATGTCCAGGCGCTGTTGTGCCAGCTGTCGACATTCCTGCTGTGGAAGTTCCAGCCGATGCTGTTCTAGCGGCTGATGTTCCGGCTATGGATGTTCGTGCTGATGTGGTTCCAGCTGCTGACGCCCAGCTGCTGATGTTCCAGCTGCCGGTGTTGCAGCTGATATCGTTCCACCTGCTGCTGTTCCAGCTGTTGTTCTTCCAGCTGTCGATGTTCCAGCTGCTGGTTTTCCAGACGGTGATGTTCCAGCTGCTCATGTTCCATTTGCTTGTGTTCCAGCTGATGATGTTCCTGCGGATGTGGTTCCAGCTGCTGAAGTTCCAGCCACTGATGTTCTAGTCGTTGTGCACTAGCTGTTGGCATTACAGCTGTTGAGACCACAGCGGATGTCGGTCCAGCTGCCGATGTTCCAACTCTTGATGTTCCAGCTGTTGATGTTCCAGCTGTTGATGTCCCAGCTGTTGATGTCCCAGCTATTGATGTTTCAAATATTGATGTTCCAGCTGCTGACGTTCTAGCTGCGGATATTCTAGTTGTTGATGTTCCAGCTGTTGGCATCTAAATGCTGTTGTTCCAGGCGTTGGTATATCAGCTGTCGTTGTTCCAGCTGTTGATGTTCCAGCAGCTGAGGTTCCAGCTACAGAGGCTGGTGTTGTCCCCGGGCCCGCACCCGGGGACAACATACTACTTCTGCTGCGGTTACTCCCTGTGGCCCGTTGATGTTATTTACTATGTTATATTATATTATTAATTCTAACTCATATTTACGGCTACTGTTTAGTGTTATTTCTTATGTGCTACATCATTATTCCGCAGTGGCCTTACCACCAACTAGATACAGCCAGGGTTACAGCCACAGTGCGAGTAGTCACATTCCTAGCTACAGTGGCCAGCCGCTGCTCGCCCTTCGGGGTCCAACCCGTTCTCACACTTTCGTATAGTCAATATTGACTTATTAAATACGTGCATATGTGACATAATAATTTATTGTGAATATTTTAGTTTACCTTGAAAAGCTTCATAGAAAACACCGACCTTACCTAACCTTCTTAGTATGTTAAGATAAGCATATTATTGCTTCGTAATTACAATTATTACTTAACCTATTATAGGTATAGGTTAAGTAAAATTGTAATTACTTAACCTATTATAGGTATAGGTTAAGTAATAATTGTAATTACGAAGCAATAAGATGCTTATCTTAACATCCTAAGAAGGTTAGGTAAGGTCGGTGTTTTCTATAAAGCTTTTCAAGGTAAACTAAAATATTCACAATAAATTATTATGTCACATATGCACGTATTTAATAAGTCAATATTGACTGTAAGAAAGTGTGAGAACGGGTTGCGGGGTCGGGGGTTCCGCGCCGCTGGCCCTCGCGGGATGGGGGGTGCTCAGCCGGAACCCTCAAAGTGATAAGCCTGCAGATAGCTAAGACATATTACCATGTATTGTAATTAGTGTAAATTCAAATAATGCAACTTTCAATTACTAACTATAGATGTAACTATTAATTGTAATTGATTTAATACTTTATCATTATAATGATTATTCATTATAATTATTCTTTAATACTTTATTGTTATGCATTAGTCACTAATTATTTATCATTCATCCTAATTAGCTATTTGATTCATTAAGTAAGTAATTATCAAAAGAAGGCACCAAACCGGGAAGGCTATGTAGCACCATCAAATACGCAAAATAATCAGAGGGCGCTAAATATCACCAAGGATGCCAATACGAGAACAAAAACGCATAAGGCGAACGATATCAAAAGTATCCGAGTCACCAAGAATTCTATCGAGGGACAGGCGACCGCGAGGGGCGGTCGGAAAGCAAGACACACGCTCGTCCTGGAAGTCAGGACATTCAAGAAGGACATGCACGACCGTAAGAGGGACAATGCAACTAGGACAATAAGGAGCAGGGCGGCGCTCCATCAAGTGACCATGGGTTAAGCGAGTATGGCCAATACGCAACCTCGCCAGAGCTGTTTCCCACCGCCGGTTACGGTGGAAGGAGGACGGCCACGAGGAAACACAACATTTAAGAGTACGTAGCTTGTTACCAGTAACAGACAACCAAGAAGCCTGCCAACGGGTAAAGACTGAGGAATGGATAACCGGGTAAAAGTCGGAATACGGAATGCCTTTACGAGAGATGGGACAAGAGCGGACAGCTTCCTTGGCGGTAGCATCCGCACGCTCATTTAAAGACACACCAATATGGCTGGGAACCCAACAAAACTCAACCGACTTAAATTTACTGTGAACAAGAAACAGCCAATGCTGGATCTCAACAACTACTGGATGAATCGGATTAAAGGACCCGAGAGTGTCGGAAAATCCGACAGCATTTAATATATCATACAGACAGATAAGAGCTGTGTTGTATAAGCAAGTTACCCATAGAAAACGTAACTTGTAGTGGAATTACCGTCTATAGAAAACGGGATATCATCACCACATACTATTATAATTCACCAGCTATTCTGCTGGGAATTATTCTTAAATACATTAGTCTTTGGACTTTACCATCATAAAACATCTTATATAAATTAACTTAATTATCAATATTAAAGTAGAGTAAATGTGACCCTTCTATCACGTTCTGAAATCTGGACAATGTAAGCCAGGCGTCAGAGTGGAGGAAGGAGGGCAGCCATTGTTTATACTAGACCAGAGGCTCACACGGGAGCAAATTCGGCTCCTGTTAAATTTACTTGGACGTAGTGTTATGGAAACTAAAGGTGTACCATTATCAACACGCTGTCTACAAATTCAAGTTAAGTGTCTATCCGAAACCCATTATCTATCATTAGTGGCCATTAATGTCATTGGGTAGGGTTATCCGGTTAGATCACATGGAATCGCCTCAAACTAAAGGTAATTAAGCCAGGTCCTCATGTTCCATGTACTGTTTTCTCTGATATAGCTTGTCATATATAGGATTCTGGCTTCACAGCTAGCGCACTTTTGACAGGTCAAGACGAGGAAGAGTTTGTGCACCAGTTACCTGGGTGATATGGAAGCTACCTCAAAGAGGATAATTTGGTGTCTACACCCTAGTTATACCTGGTGGACTAGCCTGCTGTACTATAAGATAAGGAACCTCATCAATGTATGTAGCTATTACTGTAATTTGATTGGCTGCATATATATTAACTAATAAACCCCCCTAATGTGTAGAGGATCGATTTGTGAGATTAAGAGATTATTGCAGAAATACAGTCCACTTAACATTATACAAATTGCTATCGAAGTATATAAATTAACGTAAATATAAATCTCACAGGTCGGTTCCCACATTATTTGGTCATCTTCGAACCGGATGACGGATTATTTGATCCTTTGAACCCACATTTGGTCATCTTAGTACCGGATGAACCAGTTAACCAGTGGATTCATTAAATACTAGTGCAGTGTTATTTAAACAAAAGCCAGCAGTCAAGACGGCAGCGTAGCCTCGAGGGAGCTCAGGAGCCTCCCTCAGCCCAGTTCAGCTTCGTCAGCGGTTTCACGCACACCCACAGATTTGGTGGAGTGTTATTCTGTGAAATGACAGCGCTAATATAGAATCCAGCCAAATTAGTGACTGTGTCTTCGCGAGATTGTTCACGGATTTCGTGGTGTTACATTTCGCGAGAGATTATCCACGAATTTTGTGGACTTTATTTCGCGAGGTCACTAATAACATTTAATACTTCTAGATAATATTAGAAGTTTCATAGAGGCTAATTAAGAGGCTATTATCAATAATTGTGTATATTATTTCTCCAAAATAGAGAATTATTTAATATATACTGCACTAGTGATCACAGTGTATTTACTAATTGCCAACCCACAACAGGGTAGGATATGACTAGTTGAACTATTATTGCTCATCCTAGTCCCATTATTACCATAGTCAGTTGTACTATATTGATCAACCTAACACCATTAATGAATGGTCCAGACCCTATTTTGGGTGTAATTTTATCAACTCGAATTGAGTTGTAATATATAATAATTTACTTATGATCATTACACCTTTGAGTGATTAATTAGTGTCTCTTCCATCCTAGGGTGATATAGAAGAGCTAACCTAAAGGTACTTCCAGTGACACTGGTTTATCACTCAAATCATTAGTGTGTATGATTGTATATATATAATGTGTATTAATTTTAAGTGCTAACCTCTAGTAGAGGTAGGATTATTGCCTGGTGAGTTCAGAATTTACCCTAGGCTACCATTAGAGCTTGTTCAGTATTATGAGCAGCCCAAGTACAAGTCCCACAAGGCTTCACCAACTAGCCAGTATGGATAATGCAGGGAGAATGAAAAGAACCCTTGCAGGTCTTAAAGGCCACTTAACAAGACAGATCAAGAAATGTGAAGATTTGTCACAACAATCAACAGTTGATTATGCTGACCTGGAAAGCTATTATCAAGCAGCTGCAGGTAAATTTGAGCAAATCAAATGTCAAATAGCAACATATGTGGCTGAACTTGCCAACACCAATTTATCAGAAACAGAAATAGACGACATTATGGTTGATCTTGCGAATTATGAAGATCACACTCAGGCCACGTTACAGCCTTATGTCAAATTAATTGCCCAGAACAAGGCAACAGCAACAACAACAACAGTTGCATCTAATACGAGTCAAGCAGAAGCTCGACTCCCTCCAATTAATTTACCCACTTTCTCAGGAAAAGATGAGGAAGATTGGGACGAATTTTGGAACAAATTCGTTGACCTTGTAGACTCAAAACAATCTTTACCAAAGAGTAGTAAATTCTCTTATTTGCAAGGCCAATTATCAGGTGAGGCTAAAACAGTAGTATCCCATCTGAGATTAACTAATGACGGCTATGATCTGGCAGTAAAACTCCTCAAGGATAATTATGCTGATCCAGAAGTAAGAACATCACATTTAGTTCATGAGCTGTTGCATTTACCCCCACCGGAGGCTTCAGCTGATTCACTCCAAGTCTTCAAGCTGGAGGTAGAATCATTGATCAATGCCCTCAGCCTGACAGCAGATACAAACGGGGCTGAGTGGGTCTTGAAAATAATTGTCCAGGAGAAAATACCTAGGGACATATTGAGACAAATAAGTGCTCATTACAATAAAAGCATCTTATCCATGAATGAAATATCTGAAGGTTTAAAGTCAGTAGTTCATCAATTACGAACACATGACAAATTAAAACCACCAAGTAAACCCTCAGAAACCAATAATAGTAAACCACAGAGTACCAAAGGTACTCCAAATCAATCTAGACAATATAATTCAACACCAAAGTGGAACAGTGGCAGTGTGGGCGTATATGCAAGGTGCAACCAACAAAGAGTGTCCAATCGGCAAAGTCTAAAGGTAATACGACTTTGCCTACTGCCCAAATTACCATCCTGAATAAGAGGGCCAAGGTCCATACCCGTGGGTTGTTTGACCAAGGATCCCAGAGAACATATATCACTACAGATGTCATTCAACATCTCAGGGTTTGTAACAGATGCAGGACCTCAAGTCTACCAGGTGGTACAACCATCAGTACGTTTAGGCAGGTAC